AATCAGTAAAGACTGTGTGCGTGAAAGGGGCTACTGAATAACAAGGCATTTAAAAATAAATATTTTAGTGACGTAAAACTTTTAAATTGTAGTATATTAAATTGTATATATATATATATATATATATATTTAAAAAAGTTTATCTGACCTTGGGCTGCTCCTTCTTGCCTTTCTTCTGAGACTTCTCTTGTTCTTTCACTTCAACTTCGTCTTTCTTCTGAGGCTTCTCTAGTTCTTTCACTTCAGGTTTATCTTCCTCCTGTCAACATTAGAACATCTTTAGGTTAGACACAATTACACCTTCACTGGCTTGTCAAAACACCACATTCATCAAAACAAGAGACACCCACCTTAGATGGTTTAGCAGCAGCTTTCTTGCCCTTTTTCCCTCCTTTCTTTTCATTCTCATCTTTTTTCTCCATCCCTTCATCTTGTTCATCCTCAGAGGCCTCCTGTTTTTGAGAGAACTCAGTAACCCAAATATCCTACAGGAAATGTGTGTTCAAAGCACTACGCACCATACAATATAGTGTAAGTAAAGTAAATTGGAATGTGGAGAAAGGGGTTAGTTTCTGTGATGACTGCAGCACTGCTGTCATGTAGCAATAAAAAAAACCCCGGCAAGTTAGAAGAAAGGTAGAAGATGTGAATTTTCAAGAATGAAAACAAGGAATAAGAATATAAAGAAGCTTAAGAAACAATCCCATGTACCCACCTTCGTTATCTTAGGTTTAGCCTTATCTTTTTTCTTGCCCTTGGTTACCTTCTCAACTTCCTGAATCACATACATACATACATACACAGAAACAGGCACATGTCCTTATAAATGTAGAAATGTTCAATGTGCAGCCTAATCTTTCCTTCCGTATCAAACACACACACATGTGAATAAAATGATGTGCAAAATGTGCAGCCTCGCACAAAAGATAAAAACCCTGAATCAAGACAGATGAGTGCAAATATCACATGATTTCATTAAGAAACTTGGGCACAAGGGCACTGGAACCAGTCTGGAAAAGAAATGAATGCAAAATGGAATGAATTCCACGGGGAATATCATGAAACGACAGAAAGGACATGAGATGAGGGATGGCCGGAGTGGGAGTGAAAGATGAATCAACAGAATATTAGAGAGGATGAGTTAATATGGTGGGTGATGCATATGTATTATGGTTAGGTACATCAAATTTGACAAAGCTAAATATAATATTATGAATAGTATTAGTGATGGTATAGACAGCCACTGATGACTAAAAAGACAAACTAACAAACATTGATTTCCATGCAATTTCTCCCTACAAACAAATGAAAATAAAAAATTTATACTGGTAGTGACATCATACCTTTAAGAAGTAGAAAAGTATTTTATACTCATACAAAACAATTTTAAACAGTTTGATATAACTGTATTTGTACTTTTGTTGCATTTTGTCATTTTAAAATGAACAACTGAGGGTAAAACACTAAAATAGTCAACAAAAAAATTATTTTATATATATATATATATATATATATATATATACATACATACACATACTCAATTTACATTGACTGCCTCTAAAATAACTCACCTTAGAACTCTTTTTGTTTTTGGGTTTCTCGTCGTCGTCATCACCATCGTCGTCGTCGTCATCTCCACCTGCGTCGTCTTCATCATCATCATCATCATCACTTTTCCCCTGACTCAGAGCAGCAAATATGTTGCCACCCTAACAGTAGAAAAACAAAAAACAATCTAAGCGATGTGTTTCACCATCTAGATTAGTCCTGCCACTAGAACAGGGATTCCTAAATGTTTCCATTCCAGGACCCACCTAGAAAAATATTATCTAATCTATCTCAAGACCCACCAAAATATTTGTGCTTAGAAAAGAAAATACATTGCTATAAGCATAATCTCAATCAAAAGTGAATATCATTTGACAGAAATCGAGTATTTAATCAAAATAATAAACATTTTATTTTAAAACAACTGTAAAATGTCAATACTAATATTTACATTTTAATCTCTTCATTTGCATATGTTAAGGAGTATGAAATATATCCATAAATATCCGCTCACTCTGGTCTGAATATGAACTGTAATCTGCGCGGCGAGTGTACTCGTCGCCATCATGCTTGTGTTTACATTATGAGATGCTTTTTACAGTTTCCTTATGTGTTGTTAGGTAGCCAGCCAAATGCACACGAAGGAATGAAAAAACACGCGTCTTAAAAGACAATATGACAGAGATGAATAAACACACCGGAAACAGCTTTTTTTTACATTTAAATTCTCCGTTTTAATGCAATCACATGCAAAATACTGCAGTGATTGGAAAAAAAACTAATTTCTTCTTATACAACAATTAAATCATGGCCAATATCACAATTTCTATTTAATATTGGTATATCGAGTAGCCCTAGACTAAACTGTTTGTCAAGTCAAATTATATTTATATAGCGCTTTTCACAATACAGATTGTATCAAAGCTGCTTCACAGTGTTTGTTATTCACTAAGTTATTCGCTGCAGCCAAGTGACTTTGCCCAAACCACATTTTGAAAACCCCTGCACTATTGGATGAATAGAGACGCTGACGTCGTGCATGGCTTAAATTGCACTGTTCTATACATGGTGCACGCAGCAGGAGAAGATGCATCCCAATGAAATACCACCAAAAAAAAAAAAATATATCAAACTTACTTTGTTTCGCTTTCCTCCTTTGACTGGAGCAACAACTGCAAAATAAAATAAGCCACAATGTTAAATAGGTCTTGTGATTTGATGCGTGACATATTGGCACAAACTAAGTTTATTATGACATTACCCTCTTCCTCATCTTCATCACTGGCCTGGACTGACAGTTTCTTGAGACGCTGCATGACCTCTGAATCATCATCGTCGTCGTCGTCGTCTCCTCCTGCTTTCCCTTTTCGTCTGTCTTTCTTTTTCTTCTGAGGCTAACAGTTAATGACAAGGAAATACAATAACACACCATATTTGAGTATAATTTCATTACATATTTGTTGACTTATTAGAATGCATTTTAAAACGGGCATTTATTAAAATAATGCACCTGTTTCCCTTGTGCCTCTTTCACTGGTGGCTGCTCTTTGTCTGGTTTAGTATCTGATGCCAGCTCCTCGAAAAACTTTAAGATAAAACATCATGAAAAATTAAAATGATAAAATGCAGAAATATGCATAAACAATTCAGAGGTCAGAGGTATAATTATATAATAGGCTACATTGCATTTGGTCCTGCTAACTATAATAACAAGCAAAAATATCCCATTATATATAATGTATAAATAGCTATGCTTTGATTTTTATTACATATTTTAATGTAGTTAATGAATTAAAGTTATAACAGACCAAAGTTGTGAATGGAGACTTACACTCTTTTTCCCTTTCTTATCCTTCTTTCCTTTCTTGATATGTTTGTCTAAACAAAGAAATATCATTATGGTAAGCACTTCTGCCAACATAAATACACTCACAAACACACCTGACAGACAAAACAGGCTGGAATAAACATGCACACCGACAGAAGAATGACAATGCCATTGAAAGAATGTCATGTGTGTAGGATAAAAACGACTGTCTCAAAAATAGTCAGCATTTGAGGTTAGGCACATTTGAACGTTCCCAAAATGCTGTTAAGGAGCTCAATAGAATTTGAAACAAAGCCACTACTACTATATCAGCAGTTAACAATTGCGCACAGTGGAGACATGGATCAAAAAGCTAATGGGCTAAGAAAAATATACCAGCGATTTAGTAAAACACAACCCTTTTCTCTATATTTAAAAAAAATGAAACAAAAATGTATTAAAAAGCATAGCTGTCATCATAGAATCTATTTCAATATAGTTGCATCATATCATGTCGCTAGTGGTGTAACCCATAATCTTACCTGTTTGTTGTTGTTGTTGTGGTTGTTCATCATCACCCTCCCACTCAGCCACTTCTTTTGATTTCTTAGGCATTTTTCAGCTAAACCTTTCTCTCACAAGGAAAGCAAATACAATGTTAAACGTGACTCAGGGATGGATCACAGCTGACAATGAACACGAGCACACTGTAGCTCACTATCACATGCGGCCTATCTGCGCACTGCCACAGAATTGCAAACGCCGGGAGTTCGGTTTGCGACAGCGCCATACCCTCACGCAGGCCGCCAAAGGTATTGCAGTGGCGTTGTTCTAAAAATGATGGATTTCAAAGAAAAAGTTGTTACAGTTAAATTGTGCTTAACAAAATGGTTCATTTAAAACACTTAAATAGTTTATTGAAAAATCTGAAAATTGAAGTAATTTAATATGATTTATTAATTACATCATGATTTATTCTCGTGTCCTTGTTAAACGTTACATGTACTACTAAAAAAGTATAAAATAATATAAATAAATTAATATATTATATATAACATAACAGAAACACAAATCAATAGTTTAACAAAACTGATGCATACAAAGATATGTAGCAGAAACACTTTCATGAACAAAAAGCAACATTATTTGAATATGTGTACACAAATCAATCACTGTAAAGCTTCCCAAGGAATATCAACCAACATAATAAATTGACTTCAGCAAACAGTTAATATGAGCTGAAGTACATAAATCAAACGTGAGGATATAGCATGCTGTTACCCTTTTACCACTTTTTAAATGTACTTAGTTACTATGGTAGTAACCGAAACCCTAACCCTTTAGTAAGCTGTTAATTAATATTACTGTATTGGTGTGTAATAATAGTGAAAAAATGACTGCTCAAAATAAAGTGTGACATAATATAATATAATAAGATTGTTTAATGAATTCCACAGAGAAAATAAAGAATCCAAATCTGAATATACATGAATATGAATATACAGGTTTGGATCTATCATGACGATCATGACAAAGGACCACTAACTGTCCTACGTTTCAGACTTTTATTTTGAAAAGAAAAGGCCGAGTCTTGCATTTCGTCGAGTCCGCCGCTGGATGCCGCTGTAACAAGCAGTTTCCGCTTCTAGAAGGTGGATGACGCATGCGCAGTTCCTCAGACTGCCACTGGGCAAGGACATAAGGAGAGTACATTTGTATAACGTTAAAAACAAATTTATTATCTTTCTAAATCACACAGGATTTTGCGTCAATCAGATTTGGATACTCTCTCGCATCTCTGCAAAGTGAGCTGACGCTCCACATCATTTCATCTGATTCTTTGAGGACAGGTATGCATTTAATATTACAAGCAGGACAGCTAACTGACTGTCTGACTGAAGACACTAACAGAATAACTATTATCTGTCCAACTCATAGTCAACCTATGATCCTTGATCAGTTTCAGCTTGATTTATTACCCTATTTATTATCGTTCAGTTTGTTTACCTCGTTTTGAAAGAGTGTTCACTAGTGTATAACTTACTAGTCAGCTCTAGGTTGATTGTGTTGATTTGTGAAGTGTGACCCAAGCGTGATGTGCATGTGTCAGGCTGCGTCTGATCACTGTCAATACAAACCCAACTGTATAAATATAGCATATTTACTAGTTAATACATATCGTGTATATGAGGCGTAATTTAATTTTAACAGATAAATGAGCAATACATAAGCTCCTTCAACAATTTTATATGATTATTTCTTAATTAAGGTCTTGAGAATGCCTTTAGAGGGCATTTTTGGGCGTCCAGAAATGCAGCATGACCATCATAGATTACTGTGCACAAGTCTTAGGCACGTTTGTATTTTCACCCCCCAAAAACAGTTTTTAAGCCAGTTATATATATAATATAACTGGCTTAAAACAATTTAGTGGTGAACATACTAACGTGCCTATTAGTCTTTTGCACAGTACTGTTGTTTAGATGCTCTAAAATGCTGTTTAGGTTGGCAGTTGACTAGGTAGATACTGACGTTGTATGTGTTGCTCACACTTGCTGCTGCCACTCACTCTAGCGTAGTTAGCTGCTTTCTCAGACAGCATTCATCAAATAATCCTGAAAAATGTATCATGGTTTCTACAAAAAATTAAACTGCGCAACTTATTTTCAACATTGATAATAATAAGGAATGCTTCCTGAGTACTAAATCAGCCTATTAAAATGATTTCTGAAGGATCACGTGACTGAAGACTGGAGTAATGATGCTGAAAATTCAGCTTTGCCATCACTAGGAATAAATTACATTTTAAAATGTATTGCAATAGAAAAGAGATATTTTAAATTGTAGTAATATTTCACAATAATAGTGAATGATAGTGTAACTCAAATAATAGAGCAATGTGGGTAATTTTGCCATGAGAGTTAGATTCCTTGGAAACTCATAAACTGATCAAATGTAGACTTCAATGCAATGTAATTTGCTTCGGTTAAACATATCTACCACATGCATATGTAAATGTAAATAAGTGAATGTCTTGTAAGTGTGATTTAAATGTCTTTCTCCCCCTGTCCTAGCAAGGTTTTGAAGGACTGAAGTTGCACTGTGAATGAGTGACTAACCAGAGACAGCGGTGGATGGGAGAGTTTGCGTTTCCTCCTCTTTGAGTAGTGGAATGATGTCATCTTTCTGAGACTCCATCGAGGTTTCCTCAGCACCCTGACTTGAATGGCTGTGTGCAGAGGGGGTGTCTCTCTTTGGGTGGGGTGTGTCAGAAACCATGGCGGCAGGCAACCTATGAAGAAACAGTGCTGGAATTTATGTCAGGTAGCCTACACAAAATTAATATTGGAAAAATTTCTGTCCATCAAATCAAAGTAATGTGGTGCAACTCACCAAAAATGTAATGATATCACTGAATTAATAATTCATGCCGTAGTAATTGTTAAGTTTTTTAAACCACAAAAAATAATTTAAATACATTTTTGAAAATAAAATGTAAGATGTTGATGCTCAAAATATTTTCAACATTGATAATAATAAATGTTTCTTAAATCAGCATATTAGAATGATTTTGGAAGGATCATGTGAGATGGAAGACTGCCGTAATGATGGTGAAAATTCACTTTTGCCATCAAAGGAATACATTACATTTTAAAATATTTAAATTAAGGGGTTAGTGCTCTCTTTTCAATAGAAGAATTCGCTTTGTGAGAGACTTTTGAGCTTTGTAACTTTGTAGAGCATATACATGCACAAATAGATACATTGCACACTAAAGAAAACATTAAAAACATCATATGTTGTTTAATTGTTAATTTCACAATATTGCTATTTTTAATGTGTTTTTGGTCAATAAATGTGTTATTACTTTTTATTTGATGGTTACACCATATGACATTTTTCATTACATTGACATTTTATTCTTAAAGGTGCCATCTGTAAAAATTGAGGTTAAAATATCCCAAAAATGAGCTACACGCATCAAAAGAATGAGAAGAAATAAGGTTGATGTCATTAAAAAAATAGTAGTGGGCTGTATTTTCCACACAACTGACATCAGGTTCAAGTACACACAAGCCGCGCGAGTTATTCGTTTATTGCAGTTTAGCTGGTGGTTATGTTGCCCGCTCGATACCGCCTCCCATGGCCGAAACTGGTATTACGACACCTGCCGGGCCGGGGCTAGTAATTTAGCATGCTAATTCAGGTTAATATCTCGGCAGCACAATAACTTGTCATTTTTTTAATGACATCATCAACCTTATTTCTTCTCATTCTTTTGATGCGTGTAGCTCATTTTTGGGAAATTTTAACCTCAATTTTTACAGATGGCACCTTTAAATGCTAAACAAATATATATATATATATATACAGTATATATGTATATATATGTATATATATATATATATATATATATATATATATATATGTATGTATATATATACAGTATATATATATATATATATATATATATAAAGAAATCCTTTGGATACCCATATTGGTCATTGACCCATGTGTGAATAACTTTCCACTGTCTATTTTTCTGAACTTGCAGACGACCGAGTTTCACTTGAATGACAACTGTAGGAGCCTGAGCAGTGCATCATGGGCCTTGGCTCCTCCAAACAGTCTACGTTACCTGTCTGTTAAACAGCCATCCCTGTCTCATCCCTTCCACCACGCATGCCAGCCAAACCAAGCGGCCAACCTAGAGGAGGAGGAGGAATGGGAAGAGGCGGTCAGCTTGCGCGTTCTGCTCAAACCCTGTGAGACCGATGAGCAGCACACTTTGGTGGAGGTGCCCTTTTTTGGGCCGGCCAAACTAAGCGAGCTCCTTGCCTTGGGGCCCAACAGACCCTTTGACTTACTTTTTCCTTTAACCACTGTCGATGGGAGCAGAGAGGATGATATTAGCATTACCGGAAAGGTAGGGACAGACACGGAGAGAGGTTCCTTCAGGAGTCTGTTTGAGGCCGAGGGATGCCCTGCGCCTTTTATGTTGGGATCTCGCTTCTTTTGCTTTCACTGCCCCGGGATGAAGTCTGCCTCTGAGATTGGGGACAAATCAGGAAAGGGACAGGACGAGCAGAGCTTCTATCCAGCCCTCCGTGGCATACATTGCAGCCATGCTGAGACTGAGAGAGTGGACAACAGCTCTAGCCAACGAGACATGGAGAATGAGGAGAAACTGGCCCTGATGTATGAAAAGCTGAGGGTGGAGGTAAGATGGAATGAGATGGACCACTTGTAGAAAAATGAAAATGCTCCAATATCCTTATTGATTTTAAATATGAAATATAATCTTGACTCAGTTTAGGCTCCATGTTGTGTTTCAGCTGCCCCGTTTCTTTGTGAAAAATCATGACTACAGCATATACTCTGAAGATGTTGAGTTCATCAATGGTCTTCTCAACACAAAGACAAGGTAAAGAGTTCCTTGATGCATGTTATTCTAGATTTAGGCTCAATCCCAATTCACCCCTCGGCCCTACCCCTTGTTTTCGAGTGTACCCCTTGGCCCTTAAAACAGAGTTACAAGTGCCAAGGGGTTGAAATATTCCCCTACGAAATGGAACAACCCGATACGTCATCAGTCCACGGTGATGGCTCTGCTGTTGTGGAGTTTTTACAGGATTTCTCCATGACAACAACTGACAATCAGCGCAGCTCCTCTTAACTTTGAGGAAACATGATGATTATGACATTTCTTCCTCGAAATGTATGTCTTTTCTGATTCGGAAAGGTAATTTATTATACTATTTCTATTGTATTGTCATAAGAGTAAATAAAGTGCATGGTGGTGTCACCTAGCGCTAAATTTAAATGTTTAACCGTTTGCGAAGACATCTCGCTCGTGATTTGCGATGCATTTTGTGAACTTTCTCATAGCTCTCCATTTGGATTGTGCCTCTGAAAAATCTCAGTTTCGAGGGCTATGTAGCCCTACCCCTTCGCCCTACCCCAATCGCAAGGAAGGGGCAAGGGGTGAATTGGGATTGAGTAGGGATGCACCGATATCAAAATTTTGGCCGATGCCGATAACCGATAATTCTTTATATTTGAAAGCCGATAACCGATATATCGGCCGATAAACTTAAATCCAAATTTTTTATCTAATTTTGAGAGCCTGATTACAAAAACAAAAGTCTCACAATTAAATCCACGTCCCAAGCGCACAATTATAATGATGTTCTCATTATAGTGTTGTATAGCCGATATGACAGATTTGCGTTGCACATGTTGTCCCGAACCAGATTTCATTTTTTTTGAAGAGATTTCAATCATATTTCAAGAAATTCAAAAACATAAACAGTTCTCAACAAGTGTCTCAGCTGAACATTATTTATCGGTTTTAATATATCGGCCACATTTTCTTACCAGCCCGATAACATTAAAAATGAATATATATCGGCCGATACCGATATGCTGGCCGATATATCGTGCATCCCTGGGATTGAGCTTTAGGTCTCTTAGTCACTTGCTGTCACTTAACCCCTGTGACTTCTTCAAACTCTGTTGTTTGCATACTGCTAATTCATTGGTGTGGTAAACTGTAATGAACTTGTGCCATCGCAATAAAAAAATCATGAGATCACGATAATAATCATGGCTAATCTAGAATTAAAAATGTATCATAGCTGATTAATAAATCCCTCTATTTCTATATCTGAAGGGGTCGTATGGCGTACCAGCTGACTCTGACGGTTTGGCGGTTGATGTGTCTGTGTTACTATGCGGAGGCTCAGCTGGAAGTCCTGAAGCTGACCAAGCATCCAGAAGATGGCTCAATCAAAGCTCGCTGGAGAATCAAAGGCCTGCCCTTCCACTCCATTCTGGTGTTCTTCTACAAGAAAGACAAGAACGGTCTCTACAGGTGAGTCATGCTGTTATAGCCTGTCAAAGCCATGCCCAACTGACATCTCTTTGTGTAACTTTAATTGTTTTTCTTTCCAGAACATATGATGCATTCTCCACCTTTTATGTTGGCTCTGATGGACGAATACACCGTCATAAAGTTGAAAAGGTGCGGTTTGCTTGTCAGAATATCCATATTCAGAATCAAGTAGGACTTGAAACTAGCCTGGATGCCAGCCCGAACTCCGCCCACAACATTTTTTGGTGGGGAAGTTCGGTCTGGACTCGATCCATTGAGGAGTAATTATGATCAGGCAAGAAATGAACGGGCCAATCAAATTGCCAGGGCGGGCTTTATACGATGATGGACGGGTATCAAAGAGCGCTTAACTGTCTGATTTCCCTCAGAAATGACTGCAGCTGGAGAATTGAGACGTATAGATTCCGCTGTCGCGTCTGTTGTAAAATAAATCGACAGCGCATTAATTTTATTAGACAAACAGAGAACTGCAATCAAGGCATTTGTCGATCGGAAAGATATTGTTGGCGTCCTTCCAACATGAACAACAAAAGTGTAACTTATCAGCTGGCTCTGACGGTCGTTAAGAAGATGGGACGTAATTAAAAGCCTGTGGTCGTTGTGGTTTCTCCTTTGGTCGCACTCATGGAGAAGTAATTAAAAGAAGCAACAATCGTTATTTAACTTCTAAAATAAGTAAGTTCTGAATCTGTAGTTGAAAACTGCGCTATGCAAAGGAGTTGACTTACTGCAGTGCTCTGATTGGTTGTAGGTTTACCGACTATCCAATTGAGTGCAGAGGGTTTTTTTTCCTGGTTCGTTTAAGACACGCCTCATAATCAAAGCCCAACTGAGCGGTATCAGACTCATCTTATTATTAGAAAATGAGTATGACGAAGTCAGGCTAACTTGAAACTTAAAAGATACTTTTTTTTCATACTTTCCATCAAAGGAAATAAGGAAATTTATAATAAAGTACACAACCAAACAATGAAAAAATCTTGTAATTAAGGACGTAACATTGACTTACCCGTCGAAGAAAGCAGGACTTCAGTGTCTCTTTTGAACTCTTTCTTCTGCATTAGCTCCATCCACCTGGAAAAATCTATCCCGACATTAACTCCTGTTTTTTGTAATCTCCGGTCACGTTTCCTTTTACAATCTATTTTTTGACTTTTCTGACGACAAGCATTTGCAATACAGCCTTTTAAACTTGCTGTTTATCTATATTGGCAGGTTATGGAGGCTCGCCCCCCCTTGCTTCCCAAAGTGACCTCAGTGCTGGCCGGGGCTCTGGTGGCCCTGGGCATTCAGGAACACCGACCTGCCCTCAACCTGCTCCCACTCCTGCTGTCTTCCTTCCGACAGGCCCGAGCATGAGCCGCAGAGCCAGAAGTGTGGATGTGTATGCTCAGAAGAACTTATGTTTGGTCACACCATTAAAAAGACTTAAAAAGATGCAGCGCTATATTGTGTGGGTAGAGTGAATGAGATGTTGGTAACTGTTTTTGGGGGGAGTGGGGGAATATTTGCAGGTACAAGAGCAAACAAAAGTTAAAACTGTTCTCACTAGAAACAATCTTCTGTGTGCACGCTTTCCATTATTTGAACATCACCAAACTGGAATCAGTTACCTCAATACTCTGGTTTGTATTGCAACAGGTTTCGGAGCCTAGCTAATATATGTACTCCACTATAAGGCAGGATAACCCACTAGCCTATCATTTGAGCCATCACTAATTAGGAGGTTGAAACGCACAACTCTTTAACAAATAGGTTTTGATGACATTTCTGTAGAGGTAAATTCACGGTCATTTTAAACAAGTCTGCTGAGACTGACGCTGTAAAACTTTATGGCTTTTAAGTACGGTGGGTTGATAAAGTTCTTCTCAGTGATAGTAACAAATCATCAGAGGTGGTGGACTAAGGAATTGTGCACGGTTAGTCTTGATCGGTGTACATTGTGGTGATTCATTATATATTTTTTATTATATTTATATATTAATTTGGGTTTTCATCAGTTGCTCTGATTTAAATGTTGTAGAGACTGATACCTGCTTTCAGCTGTTTCATTTAGTAGCAAAAACCAATAAAAGGTGTCAGGGTTGCTGCCTTTTTCATGACCTTTGAGGGAAAGTGATGGTAGGTACTGCCTTTTGAGGGTAGCGTTTAATTGTTTTGGGCTTGTTCATCGCTTTCAATGCACAATGCAAGTTATTAAGTTCCCTGCATAATAACATTGCCAAATCCGCACTGGTCTTACTTAAAAAGACATGCCGTCCATGTAAATTTAAGCACTTTTAAGTCCACAGTTGATGCTTTCAAAATTATTTTTCATTCAAATATGTTCAGGAGTGTATTTCCATATGCAAAACTCTATCATTAATGTACAGTATAACCTATACATTGTTAAGGATAGAGGTTTGCAGATAGTGAATTTGTCTCCTGGTTAATTGGTCGGTTCAATTCAGGAGTCATTGGTTCAATATTTGACTTTTAGTGCATTTGGTGTGATAACACATGCTGTCCACCCACCACATACATTACCATGTGTTTTAATGTTTCCAATTGCTTTGACATCCTGTGGTAAAGACATAAACCAAACATTTTTAATCAACTTCCTGTATCACAAAGTAGTCAGAACACATCTTTGTCAAGTGCTTGCGCTTTTAAATGGACAATAAAGCATTTGTTGTCACTGTAATCTGCAATTCAGTTTCAAAGGTTGAAACAGAACCATAAACATCATAGCTGAGTCATTGTTCTGCTGTGATTAGTTTTGAGCTAATTACCCAAAAACCTGAATTTATTGTGGGACAAATAAAATGCGTACTGTCATTGATATCTTTGGTCTCTGTTTGTATGCCTCACCCAGTTCCATTTAGATTATAAATAATAAGATTATAAATAATTAGTTTAATAGGCTGCATATAAAAAGCTTTTTTCATAAGGTAAAACATTTTGAGGATTTCTTTGAATAGTTTAAATCTCTTGATTTTCTCTTGAAGTCTCTCCTTTTTTATTTTAGAAAAAATATTAATATTTTTTTTCCAGCTAATGCATTCAATTGATCAAAATGCTTATAAGGACTTTTACATTGTAAAAACAAACTCTTTCAAATAAACTCTTTTGCACTTTTTCTATCCATCATAGAATAAATGTATCAGTTTCCACACAAAAAGTATTGATAAGATATCCTTAATTATAATATGGATCTGTTATATATAATATGTAATGTAATTATAATATAATATGTAATGGCTGCTAAAAAAAAATTCTTTGAATTTGCTTGAATTTTGCTTTGAATTTCATAAATTGCATAAAAAACTGTTATTTTAAATTGTAATAACATATTACCATTTTAAGAAACTTCTTTCAAGAACATCAAATTTACCCACCTTAAACTTTTAAACTAATTATTTTATGTATACACATATGTATTTTATACAGTTTAAATCTCTTGATTTTAATGATAAAGTAATTAAAGCTAGAAAATTCATTTAATATGGGTAACAGTGTAGAAAAAACATTTGTTTGTTCATTTAAAGGGTTAGGAGTACATAAGTTTTACTTCTTCCTACTCCTTTTTGCTCATGTAAATAGAGGGTTTTTTTTAAGTACTGGAGAGTATGGATTTTTACTTTCACTGTAAAAAATATTTTCAAGATTTGTTATCACAACATATTTTCTTAGGTCAAATCAACTTTATAATCATTTATTTAGTTGCTATAACTTATCATTTTGAGTTTATGATGATTAAATTAATCTCCTTAATTGTATTAACTCACTTTTTCCAGTTCAATCAACTAAAAATTAAGGCAATCCAGGTTACTTACTTTTTTAAGTTAAACCAACAATATTTTTTTTACAGTGTAGTAATCACAACATTTTTTCTTTTGTCAAATCAACTTAAATAATTTATTTAGTTCAGATAACATATAATTTTGAGTTTCTGATGATTCAAAAATTCTCCTTCATTGTATTAAGTCACTTTTTCCAGTTCAATGAACTTAATATTTTAAGGCAACCAGGTTACTCACTTTTTTAAGTTAAACCATCAATATTTTTTACAGTGTTGTTCATTTGTTTTTACCACTATTCTTTGTTTCATTGATTATTATTTAATTTTTATTTTTATTTACATGTTCAACATAAAGATATCAAATCAAATTTTTTAAGTTTTTTTACCAAGGTTGATTGTTTCAGCTAGATGTAACAATATAATATATGCAAAAATCACCAAGTTATCCCACAATTTTAAATCTTTAAAAGTAATGCAACGCCAACTAGAAACCACTTGAAAGTCATTGTGTTTGTTTTAAAAACTAAACCGTAGCAAGGGTGATTCTTCAATATTAGTGACCAAACATGGAGGCAGATACAGCTTTTTTTTTAAACTAGAAGTAATTCTAGACTTGGATGATTTTATTCATAACAGCCACATTCATGGGCAACATGAAGTTTTTGGCATGCAAAAAAATAGCAACAAGTAACAGCTCTATGTCATCACTATGACTAAACACTCCTCAGTACTCGCATCTAATCATGTTCAGCACCTTGTAAACATTCATCTTGGCATCCTCGCTATCTACACATTGAGCAGGTCAAGCTGGAATGAATTAGGGTTTCTTCATGTAAATGTGTCTAATACAATTGCTATAATTGTCAATATTAAAACAACTTAGTAAAACAAATGTACAGCTAATATACAATGGACATCCATGAATCCCGTCAGTGTGAAACTGACTGGTGACATCTACAAAGACTATACGATGGACGTCATGTAGACAGAAGAAAGACTTCTTCTGCCTCTATGGTTGGTCTAGTTCACCGGCTCTATATTTAGTCACTATCCACACATTTGACTATGGCAGACATCTGAGTTATGTGTCAGTTACCTATTTCAAAACAACTGGGTTCCCTCAAGGCGTGACACTATTGGCTGTTCCATCCGAGACGTCATGGTCATGACTGTAAGCTTGACAGATGACAAGATGGATGTGTAAACGGAGCTGTCGGTTTAACAGTCTTCAGAAAAAGCTCTGTGGGTGTTGGGAAAGCGCTGGTGGTTGTAATCTGGATCCTCACTCAGTCTTTTCTTTATATCACTCTTTACCTGGAAGACAATTAAGGATGAAAAGGGTTTTAAAGGCTTAAAGAAATTCAGAGAGCAAGATCCCATGCATTTTTCAGATATTACCTTCTATGTAGTGAGTTGTATAGCTGTTTGTTAATGATTCTAAACTGTCTGAAAAGAGACGTCAGTAATTCCAGTCTCACTTTTGCATTAAATGTAGGTTTCTAACAAATCTGCATAATGCCAGCCTGTCATCTACTTCATCATCTACTTTGACCCGCCCTCAACTACACGCTGTACTTGTAGCTGAGGGCTGGAAGTGTTTGTTCATACCACTGTGTATACAAGTGCTGAGAAAGCATCCGGAGCTAAAATTCAGATGGACGTTTCCGACATTCACTGCTAGCAGTAGACCAATCACAACACACTGGGACTGGGGCATCTGACCAATCAAAGCAGAGCATGATCTCAGAAAGGAGGATTTAAAGAGACTGAGTCCTTTATCAAACCGTTTCAGACACTGAGAGAAAAGAGGTGATTCTGCAATGAATATTATGAGAAAATTTAAGTATTTTTGACCTCTGATGCATCTATTGTAAGAGACCCACAAAACAAAATTAGGAATCTTTAAAATAGCATAAAAGGGGCACTTTAATATCCTGAACTAATAATGTGGAATTGTGGGAACAGGACCTAAATTGTGAGAGGGTGGATATGAAAATGCTATGGGAATAAGACTAAAACTACAACAATAATTTGTATTAACTGAAATAAAATAAAATATAAATATCAGATGAGAAAATTAATTCTAATTAAATAAATTTAATTAAAAAAAAAAAAACTAATAAAAATGATGAAAGTGCATACCAAAATGTCAACTAAAATGAAAATGAAACCATAAAAATAAAAGCTAATTCAAAATATCAATAAATACTACAATGTTCTCAGGATGGATTAGGTGCATAGACAGTAAAAGAAATGGTCACATTATTGCACTTCCTGGCTGAACGGAGTGTGACGACAGTCTGACCGTTGTAAATTTTCTAGTAGCTGTGCCAAGACAAATCTCAAAAACGATGTTGAAATTATTTTGTCCTGTTGCTTTTATGGACTCTCTATTAATGGGCTTCTATCTTGACTTTGTGCCTTCCGGCTGATGGATTACCCCCTTGATTAGGTATGAGTTTAGTTTCTTACTTGTTGTGTGTATGCTTCCTGCAGCTCTGGTGCCTCTAGCTCCCCCTGTAGGCTGTCTGGGGCAGTAACAGGTCGCACCCCTGCTGTCCTGGCAGCTCGACTCACAGCTTCAGCTAAAGAGAGGTGAGGACCCTCTCCCTGTACGGTCTGTGAGCCACATAAATCCAAAGAAAGGATATCTGATCAGTGCAGTGTAGTTTCAATCAATTGTCCATTCATTCATTCATTCACTCACTCACTATTGTAGTGAATATAGTTGGTGCACAGACCTTCCTCCTCTTAGCTGGCATCCCGTGCAAATATGCATCAGACAGAGGCGGCTGTGCTTTTATTTTTCTCTGCGTCAACATGTCATGTCTTATGATGGGTACCCACTCCTGATTAACACAAATATACAAACATGCTCATTATTACTTATAGACTAGGGATAATAAACAAATAAACAAAATAGAGTCATGAATATTATAATAATTATTGCTATTAGCTAGAATTTTAATATCAGTGCATTCCTGTTCTAGCTCTGCTATCTTTGAGGTCATTTAGTGTACAATAAATGATGACAAACTTTTAGTAAATCAATAGACACAGTAGACAATTGAGTCTCACGGGTGGAACAGTTGCTGCCCATGGCTCCGCCTCTCCAGTCGACCCTTCCCTGTCCGCGGTCGCCATGGCTACCGCTCCTCGCAACACTTCTAACGACGGCCTGATGGGTGGTTCATCACCATCAGCGGTGTCTCCTGAGGATGCCATGACTTCCTCTGCAGTGGTGGCAGGAGCAGGAGACAGACCCTCTTCCATCTGGAATATATAATTACATATTACTGTCACAACATACACTTCATAATGCAGACCCACACCCAGATGTATTATCAATGTTTAAAGCTTCATTTTTTTGTGAAAACACACAAAAAATCTTTTGTAACATTATAAATGCATTTACTGTCTGCTTTAGTCTATTTAATAGGTTCTAAGAAAAAATTCTTACAAAAAAAATTGCAGTGTAAAAAATTATAGTGTATATAATTAAGTGTGTATATAAAGTTGCATATATTTTCATATGTTATACTCAGCTCATTCACAAATAATAATTTTCGGTCACTTACTCTCATTCTGTTGAAACATACCTCAATATTCATGTCACCTGAATGGTGGCTTGCTTGTGCATCTGACTCTGTTCTCTGAGACGACTCGCTCTGTACATGAAAAAGATAACAGAAGCATATTCAGCTCTGTATTCTGTGGATCAGTTTGGGAGTGAATCCTGATGAGGGTGTGAAACTAAATCAGAGATGTCCAAACCTGTTCCTGGAGGGCCACTATCCTGCCAACATGAACTAAAAACACCTGAATCAGCTTAAGTGCTGTGTCTGAAATCTGAAATGTGTCTCCCACTATTTGAGGGGACAGCCATTTGTAGTGGTGTCTGAAACCATAGTGGATAGTCATGCGAATGAATTCCCACATCTCACCAGAAGATGGCGCTCGCAGCTGAATCATTCATCCATCCATTTTCAAAACCACTGGTCCAATGTGGGTGCAGTGTGTAATTACATAGAGGTATAAATTC